AGGGTGGTACAGATGCAGGGGAGGTGGGGCTTGTCAGGGTGACAGTTCAATGGGCCTGCTTAACAGGGGAGCCCCAGCTTCTGCCAAGGGGATGCCGCATACTGGGCTCCAGCTTTCCCCATCCCCTTCTCTTCCCCATCCCATGCCCCTTCCCCACCACTCCAGCTCCTCCTCATCCCACCCCCTTCCTCCCCCCTGCCTCTTTCCCCCAGCCCCCGTGTCCCTCCCGGCCCCGGTTCCCGATCTCCCTTCGCTTCCCCATCCCATGCCCCTTCCACACCCCTCCATCTCCTCCCCAGGCTTCGGGGACAGGGGGGAAACTGCCCCCCCAACACGAGCCGGTGGAGTGGAGCGGGTTCAGGCCGGGTCGCTCCACTTCCTGCCGCCGGTGATTGCAGGGCGAACCCGACCCCGACGCCGCTCTCATGGGGTGGCAGGAAGTGGAGAGATCCGGCCCTAGCCCGCTCCGCTCTACTTCCCTGGCTCCCGGACTTTGGGGGAGGGGAGAACTGCCCCCCCGCACTCACCAGTGGCGCGGCTGGGAGCCGGCGGAGCGGATTGGGACCAAGTTGCTACATTTCCTGCTGCCTGGTGAGTGGGGGCGGGCCCAACCCCTGCTGCAGTCCTCCAGGACGCACAGCTCAGGGGAGGAGGTTTTGGGGGGAAGGGACAGCGTGGGGGCGGGGCTGGGGTGGAGCAGGGGCGGGGGCAGCTTTCCTGGCCGGCTCAGCCGGCTGGGGGATTGGGCTGGCCGGGGCCCTTCTTAGTCTGGGCCCCGCGCCATGGTAAACCCGGTACTGGTAACATGGAACCATATAAAGGCTTTTAGTGCAGATGAATTTGAGAGCAAGCCAGAGAGAAGCAGATGTAGAGCATGCTAGAAAGGGCGGTACTGTTGGCATTATCTGTGCCTGACAAGCTGTCATGTGGTACAGAGGAGCCTGTGAGAAGTATCGCAGTTTCAGGAAGTAAAAGCAAGAGGGTTTGATTGGTTGCTAGGAGCTCCACATGCTAATCAGGAGACGTGTTTCTGTAAATAGCGACATAAAAATCTTCTAATGTTCAGCGTTCTAAAGCTGTCTGAATTGTGCTTTAATGAAAGGGGCACTTGGTTTCAGAGTTTTGTCCTGTAGTTTGGTAAGGGTGAAAGCTGTTGTATGAAAACATTCACCATGACAAGAAACCTTGTGCTTATTCGCCTGGGTGTGTAGCCGAGGAGTATTTTGTTAAGGCTATACTTTCAGGGATCATTTCTATAGTTTGTAACTAGAGAAGTGTAGCCGAAAGTGTCCGACCTCGCTAACCACGAGGAGGAGTTAAAGTGTTCTCTTCTGAGCGTGAACCGAGCAGACAGTGTTGCTTTATTGCAGCTGCTGTCTGTTATTGATGACCGTTCCTTCTTCCTTTTGGAAGCTGGGAGGGAGAGAACACAGACTGAGTGGTTAGCTCTTTTATGTTGTTAGAAAAAAGAAAAAAAATTTTTTTTTTTAAATCTGCTGTGTGTGGTAGGTAACTTATCCCGGTGGTAGCTGTATGGTTCCCAGGATCTGAGAGACAAAGTGGGTGATGTAACGGCTGTAGCAACCAGGATCTGAGAGACAAAGTGGGTGATGTAAGGGCTGTAGCTCACGAAAGCTCATGCTCAAATAAATTGGTTAGTCTCTAAGGTGCCACAAGTACTCCTTAACTATGGGAAAGGGACTGAGAGACTTTTTCCATTGGACCATATGAACTGGAACCATGAACTCACTGAATATTAAATCTCGCCAAATGAGGGTAAATCTATCCTCATAGAATATCAGGGTTGGAAGGGACTTCAGGAGGTCATCTAGTCCAACCCCCTGCTCAAAGCAGGACTAATCCCCCATAGTTGCCCCAGATCCCTTAAATGGTCCCCTCAAGGATTGAACTCACAACCCTGGGTTTAACAGGCTAATGCTCAAACCACTGAGCTATCCCTCCCCCCATCCACTCATTATACTCCACACCTGAACATAGCCATTATATGAACGACATACCCCCATATCTCAATGTCTGTACTTTGACACATTAACCTTTTACCCCCAATCAGGGATATTGTATTCTGTACGCCACCCATTCCTAAACCGAATTTCTCACCCCTTGATAATCTTTACCTTAATCCCTGATAACCAGAAACTTCTATGCTTAAACTCTGTACCGTTTTCTTTTTACTTCAACATCATCTTAGTAGAATTATTAAATCTCTTATTGGACAAACTTCAGTTGGTGAAAGAGACAAGCTTACACAAAACTCTTCTTCAGACTGTCACAACTAAATACAAGGTGGGACAGTTGTTTGGTAAGGAGTTATCATACATTGTAAGGGTATGTCTGCACTACGGAATAAGGTCGAATTTATAGAAGTCGGTTTTTTAGAAATCGGTTTTATATATTCGAGTGTGTGTCCCCCCACAGAAAATGCTCTAAGTGTATTAAGTGCATTAACTCGGCGGAGTGCTTCCACAGTACCGAGGCTAGAGACGACTTCCGGAGCATTGCACTGTGGATAGCTATCCCACAGTTCCCGCAGTCTCCGCTGCCCATTGGAATTCTGGGTTGAGATCCCAATGCCTGATGGGGCTAAAACATTGTCGCGGGTGGTTCTGGGTACATATCGTCAGGCCCCCGTTCCCTCCCTCCCTCCGTGAAAGCAAGGGCAGACAATCGTTTCGCGCCTTTTTTCCTGAGTTACCTGTGCAGACGCCATACCATGGCAAGCATGGAGCCCGCTCAGGTAACCGTCACCCTATGTCTCCTGGGTGCTGGCACACGTGGTACGGCTTTGCTACACAGTAGCAGCAACCCATTGCCTTCTCACAGCAGACGGTGCAGTACGACTGGTAGCCGTCCTCGTCGTGTCCGAGGTGCTCCTGGCCACGTCGGCTGGGAGCGCCTGGGCAGACATGGGCACAGGGACTAAATTTGGAGTGACTTGACCAGGTCATTCTCTTTAGTCCTGCAGTCAGTCCTATTGAACCGTCTTATGGTGAGCAGGCAGGTGATACGGATTGCTAGCAGTCGTACTGTACCATCTTCTGCCAGGCAGGCAAGAGATGAGGATGGCTAGCAGTCATATTATACCATCTTCTGCTGAGCAGCCATGAGATGTGGATGGCATGCAGTCCTTCTGCACCATCTGCTGCCAGCCAAAGATGTAAAAGATAGATGGAGTGGATCAAAACAAGAAATAGACCAGATTTGTTTTGTACTCATTTGCCTCCTCCCCTGTCTAGGGGACTCATTCCTCTGGGTCACACTGCAGTCACTCACAGAGAAGGTGCAGCGAGGTAAATCTAGCCATGTATCAATCAGAGGCCAGGTTAACCTTCTTGTTGCAATAAGAACAATAACTTAGGTGCACCATTTCTTATTGGAACCCTCCGTGAAGTCCTGCCTGAAATACTCCTTGATGTAAAGACACCCCCTTTGTTGATTTTAGCTCCCTGAAGCCAACCCTGTAAGCCGTGTCGTCAGTCGCCCCTCCCTCCATCAGAGCAACGGCAGACAATCGTTCTGCGCCTTTTTTCTGTGCGGACGCCATACCAAGGCAAGCATGGAGGCCGCTCAGCTCACTTTGGCAATTAGGAGCACAATAAACACCACGCGCATTATCCAGCAGTATATGCAGCACCAGAACCGGGCAAAGCGATACCGGGCAAGGAGGCGACGTCAGCGCGGTCATGTGAGTGATCAGGACATGGACACAGATTTCTCTGAAAGCATGGGCCCTGCCAATGCATGCATCATGGTGCTAATGGGGCAGGTTCATGCTGTGGAACGCCGATTCTGGGCTCGGGAAACAAGCACAGACTGGTGGGACCGCATAGTGTTGCAGGTCTGGGACGATTCCCAGTGGCTGCGAAACTTTCGCATGCGTAAGGGCACTTTCATGGAACTTTGTGACTTGCTTTCTCCTGCCCTGAGGCGCATGAATACCAAGATGAGAGCAGCCCTCACAGTTGAGAAGCGAGTGGCGATAGCCCTGTGGAAGCTTGCAACGCCAGACAGCTACCGGTCAGTAGGGAATCAATTTGGAGTGGGCAAATCTACTGTGGGGGCTGATGTGATGCAAGTAGCCCACGCAATCAAAGATCTGCTGATATCAAGGGTAGTGACCCTGGGAAATGTGCAGGTCATAGTGGATGGCTTTGCTGCAATGGGATTCCCTAACTGTGGTGGGGCCATAGACGGAACCCATATCCCTATCTTGACACCGGAGCACCAAGCCGCCGAGTACATAAACCGCAAGGGGTACTTTTCGATAGTGCTGCAAGCTCTGGTGGATCACAAGGGACGTTTCACCAACATCAACGTGGGATGGCCGGGAAAGGTACATGACGCTCGCATCTTCAGGAACTCTGGTCTGTTTCAAAAGCTGCAGGAAGGGACTTTATTCCCAGACCAGAAAATAACTGTTGGGGATGTTGAAATGCCTATATGTATCCTTGGGGACCCAGCCTACCCCTTAATGTCATGGCTCATGAAGCCGTACACAGGCAGCCTGGACAGTAGTCAGGAGCTGTTCAACTACAGGCTGAGCAAGTGCAGAATGGTGGTAGAATGTGCATTTGGATGTTTAAAGGCGTGCTGGCGCAGTTTACTGACTCGGTTAGACCTCAGCAAAACCAATATTCCCACTGTTATTACTGCTTGCTGTGTGCTCCACAATATCTGTGAGAGTAAGGGGGAGACGTTTATGGCGGGGTGGGAGGTTGAGGCAAATCGCCTGGCTGCTGGTTACGCGCAGCCAGACACCAGGGCGGTTAGAAGAGCACAGGAGGGCGCGGTACGCATCAGAGAAGCTTTGAAAACCAGTTTCATGACTGGCCAGGCTACGGTGTGAAAGTTCTGTTTGTTTCTCCTTGATGAAACCCCCCGCCCCTTGGTTCACTCTACTTCCCTGTAAGCTAACCACCCGCCCCTCCTCCCTTCAATCACCGCTTGCAGAGGCAATAAAGTCATTGTTGCTTCACATTCATGCATTCTTTATTCATTCATCACACAAATAGGGGGATGACTACCAAGGTAGCCCAGGAGGGGTGGTGGAGGAGGGAAGGAAAATGCCACACAGCACTTTAAGCCCAGCACTTTAAAAGTTTACAACTTTAAAATTTATTGAATGACAGCCTTCTTTTTTTTGGGCAATCCTCTGTGGTGGAGTGGCTGGTTGGCCGGAGGCCCCCCCACCGCATTCTTGGGCGTCTGGGTGTGGAGGCTATGGAACTTGGGGAGGAGGGCGGTTGGTTACAGAGGGCCTGCAGTGGCAGTCTGTGCTCCAGCTGCCTTTGCTGCAGCTCAACCATACACTGGAGCATACTGGTTTGGTCCTCCAGCAGCCTCAGCATTGAATCCTGCCTCCTCTCATCACGCTGCCGCCACATTTGAGCTTCAGCCCTCTCTTCAGCCCGCCACTTACTCTCTTCAGCCCGCCACCTCTCCTCCCGGTCATTTTGTGCTTTCCTGCACTCTGACATTATTTGCCTCCACGCATTCGTCTGTGCTCTGTCAGTGTGGGAGGACAGCATGAGCTCAGAGAACATTTCATCACAAGTGCATTTTTTTTTCTTTCTAAGCTTCACTAGCCTCTGGGAAGGAGAAGATCCTGTGATCATTGAAACACATGCAGCTGGTGGAGGAAAAAAAAGGGACAGCGGTATTTAAAAAGACACATTTTATAAAACAGTGGCTACACTCTTTCAGGGTAAACCTTGCTGTTAACATTACATACATAGCACATGTGCTTTCGTTACAAGGTCGCATTTTGCTTCCCCCCACCGCATGGCTACCCCCTCAACCCTCCCCCCTCCCCATGGCTAACAGCGGGGAACATTTCTGTTTAGCCACAGGCAAACAGCCCAGCAGGAATGGGCTCCTCTGAGTGTCCCCTGAAGAAAAGCACCCTATTTCAACCAGGTGACCATGAATTATATCTCACTCTCCTGAGGATAACACAGAGAGATAAAAAACGGATGTTGTTTGAATGCCAGCAAACATACACTGCAATGGTTTGTTCTACAATGATTCCTGAGAACGTGTTACTGGCCTGGAGTGGTAAAGTGTCCTACCATGAAGGATGCAATAAGGTTGCCCTCCCCAGAAACCTTTTGCAAAGGCTTTGGGAGTTCATCCAGGAGAACCACGAATGCCAGGGCAAAGTAATCCTTTCACATGCTTGCTTTTAAACCATGTATAGTATTTTAAAAGGTACACTCACCAGAGGTCCCTTCTCCGCCTGCCGGGTCCAGGAGGCAGCCTTGGGTGGGTTCGGGGGGTACTGGCTCCAGGTCCAGGGTGAGAAACAGTTCCTGGCTGTCGGGAAAACCGGTTTCTCCGCTTGCTTGCTGTGAGCTATCTACAACCTCATCATCATCATCATCTTCTTCGTCCCCAAAACCTGCTTCTGTGTTGCCTCCATCTCCATTGAAGGAGTCAAACAACACAGCTGGGGTAGTGGTGGCTGAACCCCCTAAAATGGCATGCAGCTCATCATAGAAGCGGCATGTTTGGGGCTCTGACCCGGAGCGGCCGTTTGCCTCTCTGGTTTTTTGGTAGGCTTGCCTCAGCTCCTTCAGTTTCACGCGGCACTGCTTTGGGTCCCTGTTATGGCCTCTGTCCTTCATGCCCTGGGAGATTTTGACAAAGGTTTTGGCATTTCGAAAACTGGAACGGAGTTCTGATAGCACGGATTCCTCTCCCCATACAGCGATCAGATCCCATACCTCCCGTTCAGTCCATGCTGGAGCTCTTTTGTGATTCTGGGACTCCATCATGGTCACCTCTGCTGATGAGCTCTGCATGGTCACCTGGAGCTTGCCACGCTGGCCAAACAGGAAATGAGATTCAAAAGTTCGCGGTTCTTTTCCTGTCTACCTGGCCAGTGCATCTGAGTTGAGAGTGCTGTCCAGAGCGGTCACAATGGAGCACTCTGGGATAGCTCCCGGAGGCCAATACCGTCGAATTGTGTCCACAGTACCCCAAATTCGAGCCGGCAAGGTCGATTTAAGCGCTAATCCACTTGTCAGGGGTGGAGTAAGGAAATCGATTTTAAGAGCCCTTTAAGTCGAAATAAAGGGCTTCATCGTGTGGATGGGTGCAGGTTTACATCGATTTAATGCTGCTAAATTCGACCTAAAGTCCTAGTGTAGACCAAGGCTAAGAGACCTTTCAAGGTGAAGTGCTCAACTAACACCTCTGCAATCATAGGACAAAGGTTGGTTAGTGGGTTATAAATTGTTATTAGTGTTACTGGTGGTGTGTCAGTTTTCTTTCACCATGAGGACTGAGAGGTCAGATATCGAGTGGTCATTGTTTGCAAAGTGGTTTGCTACTGGTGGTATGGTGTTTTTGTCTTTTATAATTTTTCTGTGAGTTAATTCGAGAGCATAGTGATTGATTGTCTCATTTCACCCACATGGTTGTTACTGAGGAATTTAGTACTTTGGATGAGGTACTGGAGTGTGGGAATATGGGGGGCTCAAGGGGCATGGCCCCTCCCCTGCCCCACTTCATCCTCCCGAACCCCCCCACCCAAAGCCCAGGCAGGGAGCCCGGGCAGCTGTGGGGTGCTGTGGACCCTCCACCTGCCTGGGGTGGGGGCTCCTCGGCCCATGTCCCTGCCCTGCACCCCACCGCCCCATCCAGGGCAGGAGAGTCCACGGCTCCCCACAGCTGCCTGCGTGCCATGCACAGCTTTTACCTGGACCCGGCTCTGGCTGGGGGGCTGCAGCGCGGCTATGGTAAGAGCTGTGTGAGTAGTTGTGGGGAGTCGCGCCATGGACCTTCCACCTGCCCTGAGCGGAGTGGGGGGCTGTGGGGTGGGGACATGGGGCAGGGTTTGCTTTCAACCCCCTCACCCACTGACTGCCAGTAGGTGGAGGGTCCTCAGGCAGCTCCCGGCCCACTCCACCTTAGCTGGGCCTCGGGCAGAAGAGGAGGGGTGACCCACATTTGGGCAGGCTCTGCCAGGCACCCTTAACGAGGTACGCCACATGTTGTGATAGGCATGTGTAGGACCCATGGATCTTGAAAGGTGTGTTGTGAGAGGTATCTATTGATCATTTTAGCAGTGAGATATGTCTGCATGTTATGGCATGGTCTGGTGCCACTTTGAATGGATGGGTCCTGGCCTGTGGGGAGTTTACTTCTGATTATGAATTTGGCAAAGTTGGGGGGTTTGAAGGCAAGAAGAGGGAGTTCAGGAAAGATTTAAACATATCTTTACCCAGTAAAGATATTACCTAACCCACCTTGTCTCTCTAAAATAATACATTTGAAACTGAAAGTACTGACATGTCCAGAGTGTGACTATCAGAAGTTCAAATTCAACAAGTCGGCTAAAATAGCTTACCATTTGTATCAAATGCTCCTTTTTCATAGACAGTAGCTTATTTATTCTTTTAAATTAGGAAAAAGCTTTTTGTTTTGTTGTGTTGTGTTCATATTAGACAGATCTAGGTTAACTATTTGTGTATTAGTTACACTTATATATAGGGCCCTACCAAATTCACAGCCATGAAAGACTCGTCACCGACCATGGAATCTGGTCTTCCCCTGTGAAATCTGGTCTCTTTTGTGCTTTTACCCTATACTATACAGATTTCACAGGGGAGACCAGTGTTTCTCAAACTGGGGGCCCTGACCCAAAAGAGAGTTGCAGGGGGGTCGCAAGGTTATTTTAGGGGGGTCACCGTATTGCCACCCTTACTTCTGTGCTGCCTTCAGAGCTGGGCGGCTGGAGAACGCTGGCTGTTGGCCAGGTGCCCAGCTCTGAAGACAGCATCCCACCAGCAGCAGTGCAGAAATAAGGGTGGCAATATCATACCAGGCCACCCTTGCTTCTGTGCTGCTGCCTTCAGAGCTGGGTGGCCAGAAAGTGGTGACTGTGGACTGAGGGTCCAGCTCTGCAGGCAGCAGCACAGAAGTAAGGGAGGTGGTAGCATACCATGCCGTCCTTACTTCTACACTGCTGCTGGTGGTGGCGGCTCTGCCTTCAGAGCTGGGCTCCCGGCCAGCAGCCACCACTCTCCAGCTGCCCAGTTCTGAAGGCAGCACCACTGCCAGCAGCAGCGCACAAGTAAGGGTAGCAGTACCGCAACTCCCTCTACAATCGCCTTGCGACCTGCCCCCGACAGTTCTTTTTTGGGTCAGGATCCCTACAATTACAACATCATGAAATTTCAGATTTAAATAGATGAAATAATAAAATTTACAATTTTTAAAATCCTATGACCGTGAAATTGACCAAAATGGATCCTGAATTTGGTAGGGCCCTATTTATAAAATATTTAATTGAAAAAGTTAAAGATTGATAATGGGGGGGATGTTTGAAATTTTATAGTCATAAGAGGCATGACTACTTATTTATTTATACTTTTCAGGTATTTGTGTTGACACAATTAACTCCTTGGGCCAGACCGCTCTGTTTACTGCTGCATTGCTAGGTCTTGGTAAACTAGTAGGTGTGCTCTTGGATTATGGATCAGACCCAAATCAGTTAAGTATAAGAGTCAGAATTACATCCTTAATAAATTGAAACAAACTTAAATTTGTTATAGCATCAACTTTATTGTAATGCACAAGTAATAGTTAGTTGTCAATGTGTAGATAAAAGAGAGACATAGCCTTCATCCAAACTGTAATTGTTACAGAGCTGATAGTTGGGGAAAGAAAAAGCCCAGGGCCCTGACTTTTAAAAAGTATTTAGGCTTTGCTCTGCTCAGTGGTGCATGGCCTTAAGCCTGTTCTATACTTAAAAGTTAGGTCAACATAGATATGATGCTCAGAGATGTGAAAAATAGTGCCATAACTATACTGACCTAACATGAGGTGTAGATGTGGCCTGGTTGACAGAAGAATTCTTCTGTCAACCAAGCTACTGTCTGTCAGAGAGGTGGATTAAATACAGCAACAGAAAAACACCTTCCATCCTTGTAGGAAGCATCTACACTATGGCACTGCAGCAGTGCAGACATGGTCAAAGTGATTTAGATTTTGCAGTGCTGAGTAGAGCAAAGCCTAGATACATATACAAATTTGGGCCTTGGTGCCTTCCAGCCTAGGCAAATAAAGCGTTTTAGAAAACAGGCAAAGAGCCCCACCTACGAAACTCTTTGGGGAAGGTTGTGAATTCTGAGCTTGAATATGTTAACATTTAAGGGCATGTCTACACTACAGATGCTGCAGTGGCACAGCTGCAGGTATGCCACTATAGTCCCATACTGCAGGTGCTTCTCAGATGCAGGTGCTTCCTACATCAATGGAAGGGTTTTTTTTTGTCAATGTAGGTAATCCACTTCCCTGAGCAGGATTAGGTATGCTTATCTACAGAACTCCAGGGTGATATAGCTAGTTCAATCTGTATTTTAAGTGTAGTCCAGAGCTCTGTGTTTCCAACTAGGTGTTGATATGAATGCATGATTGAAGTGAATGGCAGAAGGGAATACTGTTCACAACTTTTTCTAATGCAATTGTTTGTCCCTCAGGAGGCAGTTTTTTCACTAGGCTGGATCAACAGGTTAGCAGTGCACTGATTGTAGTGAGAAGATTATTTTTGCAAGGCAAGTCACTACATTAGTCCCAGCAATAACCACACTTTACAGATAATCAGTGCGCTGTCTCCAACCAAACAATAGGGCAAGCAAAGGTGTGAACTCCACTTCTTTCTCTCATTCACTTCAGTCAGGAATTAATCTTTAAAATCTAATTGGAAGTTTTTAAACACTAAAAATATTAATCATAGCCTCAGAAGCACCTCCCCAGTGAGAGTAAAAAGGTAAAGCTTGGTTTTTGCAGAAGACAAGCAAAGTGCAGATAAGCGTGTTGAAAAAGAGAGTTTTTCATGCCTGCAGTTTTCTAGTGCCTCTGGTGACAATAAAAGGCCACACAGTCCTCATTCCATGCATGGAATCCCCTTTGGCAAAATCAGGGTAGATTCTTTTGCTCTTGCATATAATGCAATTGTAAGTATGCTCTTTTTCAAGAGGTATCTGTAGTTTACCATAGTAAAGGTAGTTTGAAATTTTTCTGTTCTAATATTCCTCAGCCGCTGTTATGATGGGAGCACCCCAGTACATGCTGCAGCATTCTCAGGAAATCAGTGGATTCTCAGTAAATTGTTGGATGCAGGAGGTGATCTGCGAGTACATGATAAAAATGGAAGAAATCCGCAGTGCTGGGCTATGTCAGCTGGAAAGGAAAGTAGTGCTCAGGTACACATATGTGAACTTCACAACTTTATCTTGGAAATATTGTCTGGGAACAAAAACTCCATACCCAGGAAACAGATGCTTTTTAAGAAAATGTGAAGTGATTTGCCTTGTGTTACTTTCCAGTTCAGATTATATTCTGAGGTCCTGATCATGCAAACTCAAAATGATTTCATTGGGACTCTACCTGGGGGAAGAGGTCTGCCTGTACTTACAAGCTTGCAGGATCAGAGCCATAATGTATAAATGTGCAGTGATGAGAACTACAGTGATAGGTCCTGATCCTGCAATCCCCTGCATACTCATGAGTAGTTCTGTTGGAGCTGCAGTTACTCACGTGTGTAATGGCATGTGTGTAAGTGTTTGCAAGACCAAGGCCTAGAACTATACAATTTCTGGTATAAATACTGCTTATTTAATACTGGAGCAAAATGTTATAAGAAAGCTGTTGTTTTAAAATTATCCCATGTCTTGGTACGAGATAATTTGATGTCTTTCAATATGAATATTTTACGGAGAGACCTAGTCAGAATAATTCAAGATAGATTATTCCTTTATTATTAATTGTGTTGGAATCCAGTAGTTTTATCATTTTCACCTTGGGAATT